GTGAAAACGTCCTGAGACATGATGCTTCCTTCCAGTTTATTGGATCTAATCTTGAAGTGGATTTTGGCATGGTTTTCATGCCACTGTGAGTTTGCTCCTCCAACCCTCTTAGGAGCATAAAGGCAGTATACACCTTTTTGGACAGAGGTCTAGGGCAGTGACGGTGAACCTTTTAGGCACTGATGGCCCAAACTAAACAGCCTTCTGGTATTGGGTGTTACCCTTTTCTGGAGGCAGGACATCTGGGGGGATTGGGACTTCCAGGGTGGGATGTCCGCCATATGGGGGTGGGACTTCTGGGGTGGGACTTCTCCCCCTGCCACACCTTCCTAGGACTTCAGCTGCCTTTCCGGAGGTAGCTGAAGGCCCGGAAGGAGGAGGGACAGGTGTGCACCTGTTTCTCCTCCTCCCCCCGTACCTTCCTGGGTCTTCAGCTGCTTCTCCGGAGGTAGCTGAAGGCCTGGGATGGCCGGGAGAAGGAGGAATAGGTGCACACCTTTTCCTCCTCTTCTTTGTTCCATGTGCCAGGGAAAATGGCTTCATGTGCCATCTTTGGCATAGGTTTGCATGCCATAGGTTCGCCAGCACAGGTTTAGGGTAAAAAATAAACAAATCCTGTTGTCAAGAGAGGCTTCAAAGTGACTAGAAGGAGGATGGCCTAAGGGAGAAACAAAGGGCACACAAACACATCTGAGCCTTAAGCTCAATTCTCCCTTCTTCATCATGACAGTGACATGTGGAGATAGGAAATGTTATTTACAGGGCAGGGTAAAAAACAAGAGTTGTAGTGAATAAATCATCACTTTTCCCCTCTAATACCCAGGAAAAATAGAAGTGTTCAATTTTATGGCCTCTCTTTACTGCCTTACTACCACTCTGAAGCTAATTTAGGGTAAGCGATTGACATGATAACTACATTTCAATCTCATATCTAAAGCTAATATAAAGCACTATTTCTGGCTCCTTTAAAATGATAGTGCATAAGATATGTAATTTGCTAGCAGCTGATGTGCCATTAACATCTGCATACATTTTCATGGACTGTGCACAGGCCTTGAGTCCAACTTTGCGACCAGTCTGGTAGTCTAAACCAAACCCAGTCCAGACTCTAGATCCAGATTGTAATTGGAAATCTAGTATCACTGTTTCTCTCATTCATTCTGTCTGGGAAATCTAAGGTGCTATAATAGTGGTGGCATTGTACAGATCCCAGATGTTTAACTTCAGCTCCAAGTATGCTGGGAGTTGTAGTTCAGCATAATCAATTCCCACTCTGGACTATATGTTTTCTGTATCTTCGTACATCTGGATGAAACATGGAGTCATGGTAGACCCTGAAGAAGAGATTAACTCTGCCACAATGCAGGCAGGTAGTGTCAGAGAGGTTTGTCTCTGCAGCTTTAAAGTTTATAAACAGACAAAGCGGAACATTTAATTAAATTAGGCCTAACAGAAATGAGAAAAATCTGTCAAAGAAATGTGCAAGCAATTTCAGAAGAAAAGAATGAGAAAAAAAGCATCACTTTCCTAAGTTAACAGCAAAGAATATACCCACTCCCAGTTCAGAGTTTTTTGAAACTGATCTCTCCAACATCTCTTTTTCTACTTAAACATACCCTAAAACAGGGGTCCTCAAACTTTTTGAGCCGGGGGCCGGTTCGCTGTCCCTCAAACCATTAGAGGGCTGGAGTAAACAAACAAACAAACAAACAAACAAACAAACAATAATTTTTTAAAAAATAATTTTTATTTTTATCCCGCCCCTCTGCAGCGCAATTGCAAGTCACACCCTCTCAGCCTCAGAGGATAACCATGGCAACTCTCCT